AAAGATTTACTCTTTTGGTGCATTCTTGTAAGTTCTTTTTTCCTTTTCCTTTTTTTTTTTTTTACTTTTAAAGTTTTAAAAATATATTTCGCATCATTCTGAATGGTTCATTTCAGTGCCCTCACTGCCAGTGTTGGGGATGAGGACCAGGACTGCTTCATTTCTCTGCTCTCTTTGTCTGTGATGAATAACATGTAAAGATATTGCATGAAACATTAAGCTTCACATTATCTTTGCTCTTTATCTGGATAGATTTGGCATCCTTCTTCCTGTCTCTGAACTGAAAACCCTTGATTTCTTTCTTTCTTTCTTTTCTTTTTGAGGCTTGGCAGCAAGGCACACAGAGGTTGCAGACCTGTACTGCCAGAGAAACTCACAACCACTGGCCAGAATCCAAGACACATAAATTCTATAGCTTTCTTTATTTACTTTCCTTTTTCCCCCTCATATTCCAAATAACTTGTCTTTGAGTTCACAGATTTCTTTCTTCTTTTTGTATATTATTTTGTTCATACTTTGTATTACATTTTTCACCTCATTCACTATACTTGTCAGCTTCAGGACTTCTGTTTGATTTTTTAAAATTATTACAATCACTTGTTAAAGTGCTCTAACATGCTTGAATTGTCTCTATGTGTTTCCTTAGTTCTGCTTCCTTAAAGTAGCTATTTTTAATTCTTTGTGGAGGCAGCTCACACATCTCTGTCTCTTTTGGGTCCCTTACTGACATTGTCTATTTGGTGATGGCCTTATTCCTTGATTTTTCTTGGTTCTTGTGATTATTCATTAATATCTCTGAATTGGATAAGTAGGTACTTAGCTCCATCTTTTCAGTCTACCTGTCTTTGGGAAGGTCCTCCAACAGTAAGCTTGAGCAGTGATTCTCAGAAAATTCTCTTGTATTCCCTAAGGCTAGGACCATTTCAGTCCTAGAGGATGTCCTAAACCAAAGACTACAATGTCCAGTATAATCCAGGCTGGCACACCATGACTTCCAAGGCTGGTTTGTGCTAGACTGGAATATTGCATCTATCAAGGATGGCAGTGTTTGGAAACATCTGACTCACATGGCTGCTAAGGTTTTGTCAACTCATGACTACTAAAATTGGCCAATGGTGACACAGGTTGGAATTTAAATCCATTTCACGGAGGCTATGGGTTTCTGTCTAACACAGGAACAGATCTACAAGCACAATCAGCTGTTCCCTCTGGAGTCAGGGCTATGCATCTTCCCAGGGCTGGATTCTACTCTGCTGGGCCTAGTTTGGAGACATGCAAAGTCCTATGCTTCTTTTTCATCCCTTCAATTAGATGGCATCTCTCTATGCTGTGCTGTCTGGGGTTGGGGAAGTCACATGTAGGTAATATAACCCTGTCTTTCTTGCCCTATTCAATACATTTTATTGGACTATAACAAAGTTCTGATTTCATTAGCTCTTTGTGAAAGTATTTTCACATATGGGTAGTTGATCAAATAGGTATTTCTGTGATACCCTCACTGGTCTGCTGTTTTGCTGTACCATCTTCCTTTATTTAGGTTTCTTTTACCGTTTTCCTTTCCAAATAATCCCATTTTGATCTTTTTCCCCTTTGGCGTATTCTTTATTGTCTACTAGAAAATAATTTTTTTCTTGGCAAATTCAATTGCTTTTGGACTTTTTGTAATTATATTCAATTTCTCTCTTAAATATTGTCTTGAAGCATATAGGAACTTGAATCTGAATCAGTAGGCAAAAATAACCTCTCAGGGAACTTAAATCAAATAAAGAAACTAGTCCTCTGTGGAATAACTGTTAGAGCATTACAGACAAAGGCATATATATTCAGAAAATGCCTTCTACTCTACCCCGAGAAGTTTTACCATTTAGTAATTTCCCTGAAGTAATAGGCTTCCACAGCTGACAATCACCATGTCATTTTCACACAGTATTTCTTTAACCAGGGATGGGTTCCTTGACAACGGATTGAAAAACACGTTGACTAAAATGGCCTTAATAAGCATACCTCATGACCTGCCTCCCCCGTGGTCTCATCAGCAGGCAATAAACTAGTCTCATCATCCTTAATTCTCACGTAAAAGATTATCTGTCAGAGAAGTAATTACCTAGCCAGATACACACCCCTTGGAGGCGAAGCCCAGAAATCATTATAATACTCTGTAATTAGTGTTTATTATTTTATCTGTTCATGTCAGGAGAAGTACAAAAAAAGTGCCCCTCAGCCGGACAATCCTATCATAACAAGATGTAGAGAGTATTAATGTAAAAGCTTTTCATTGTGTGCATTTTCTTTGCCATGGCAACTTAAAATCAGCTTGCTTCCAAGCAATTTGTGGCTCAACCACACTCCCTAACCCTGCATAGCACACCAGGCATTTCATCCAGGAGTATCTAAAGCTTTAGCCTGACTACAGGTGTAGGTGTAATCTTGACAAAGACCTGCATGATAAGCGCCTCATTTTTCTCTTCGGGGACAAGTAGTACATTCAAAGCTTGTTCTTGGCAGATGTTAGTCTAACGGAAATTCAGAATTCAAATCCTTCAAACCCCAGCCGTGCTGTGCGCTAAAATGGGGCATAAGTACACACAGATGCTTCCTGCATTTCAATAAAGTGCTGTTAATTGGACCTTGACTTTTGTTGCTCTGCACTTTGAAGCCATGGTGGTCCTTCTGTCTTCTTTAAGAGATCTGATAAGAATTATCTGATGCAGTAGGAACCTGAGAAAGTCTCAGCTATGGATTTTTACAACACTTATATATATAGTTTTACTTTTGAACAAAGGATAGTTTTCTCTGGGATGAGCAAAAGAAATGCATATATAGTCTTTAAAAATGGAAACTATTGTGTTTTAAAGTAGGAAACGGAATTCAGAATAACATTGTCATAGGTTAACACCTACCAGTATTTCAGAAGTAAAAAACCACTAAATTTGCCCAATAGGGAAATGAATACCCGTAATCCCAGCACTCAGGAGGCTGAGATGTGAGGATCATGAGTTCAAGGCCAGCCTAGGCTACATTGTGAGAAACTTATCTCAAAACAAAAAACTAAACAAAAATAAAAACAACCTACCAAATTATGGGAGAAAGTTGGGTGAAATAGCTAAAGAAATGAACAGTAGATTCTTTATATCTCTAGGCATAGTATCTCAACTGCAATTTGTTGATAACCACACATTATCTAGAATTGTCCTAGAAGTTAGAGGAGATGGGCGTGCTCAAGTGTTTAGCGCATGCTCAGTGGATGGAAATCTCTGAATAAGAACAGTTCTAGTAGATCACAACGCTACACATGTGGTGCTAATCTTTGCTGAGCTTTGCATTCTGTCCATGTTACATTGTTCTGTATAGGATTGCCATAGCTTGAGAAACCCTAGGAAACCTGAAGGGGTTCCAGAAAAATAGAAGTCTGGTGTGGATGTAGAGGTCTTCATGGACTAAGGAGAAGACTTCTTCAAAGTCTACTTGGGGAACTCCAGGGGAAGCTGATCTTCCTGTCCTGCTAACTGAGCTCTCCTCACGTTTAGGAAGGAACTTGCTTGACCCCAGCCTCACACGGGAGCATAATAGAAATTTTCTGATTGATTGACTGAATAAGGTATAACTATAAGGAACACATATCATATTGCAACTTGGCCAAATAGTGTCTCTCAACTCTGATCCCTACCTGTCTTACAGGATATCTTCTAAAAAAAAATCTATATGATAGGTGTTGCCAACTTCTCCCTCTTTTTTGGAGAAGACAAGTATGGAAGTAATGTTGAAAACAAGGCCATGATTAGAATTAAAATTCTTGATCAATTTTCATAGCAAGTGTAATTTTTTCAGATAAAAATAGCCCAACTCTAAAAGTTTCCCCAAGATGTTAAATTGTTTCTTGGAAAAGTGGGGTTCACATTTACAAATCATAAAACAAAACACAAATTGGAATGGGAAGATGTTGGTTAAATTCTTTGAGTTATATATTCTCTGGTATGACCTTTGCCAAGTTATGTAAATTTTTTTAGTTCTATTCCTACAAGTAATGACTATCAGAGCTGTTAGATTATTGTTTCAGTTATATGTTCCCTGGTATGACCTTTGCCAAGCTGTGTAAAATTTTAGGTCTATTTTTTATAAATAATGACTATCTCAGATTTGTTGCAAAGATAAAATGTGATAGTTCATGTAAATTATTAAGCACATTAATCCCTCAGCAATATCTATTATCTTTGTTGCCATATTTTCTTCTGGGTAATTTTAGTATACATTTAATAATTGTATTTGTCATAGTTAGAGTTCTATTTAGTGATGTTTTAGTACAAAAACATATACATGATTACTATATTAAGAGGGAAAGGACATAAAACATTTATTTGAAATCACAGCTTTTCAGGGCTGTGAGCTTGCTTTGATCTGAATCAGTCCAAAAGCTTAGTGGCTGGGGATATAGCTCAGCAACACAGTGCCTGCCTGGCAAGTGTGAGGTCCTGAGTTCAAGTTCCAGTGCCAAGAAAAAAAAAAAAAGACAAAAGCTTGAACTAACTAGGTCTTTCCATAAAACGTCAGAAAGCCTTATGTGGATTTAGTATATTATTGTGTACTATAGACTCTTTGAAATTCTAAGATGTTATCAAAGCCCATCTGTATTTCTAGAGTTCTCAGAGTACTCATTGGAATATATTCAGCTGTACCTTTCGGTAACCTTCAAAAAGGTCAACTTTCTGCATTCTTTGAAATATTACATAGAAATACTTTCAACTAGGTTTTAAAAAAAATGACAGAGCTTCATTTTGTGACAGTCTTGCTAACCTAATTAAGTAATCAAGTGATTTGTTATTTCAAGCATATCCCATTGTCTTTTTTGCATTTTGATTAATACACTGAAAAACATTCTCTGCTGATACGCTTATTGGGCTGAGAACCATTTACAAAACCATAAACTGAGAACTGAAAAATGAGGATGTTAATTGTCAGAAACATGACAGGAGCACTAGAATTAAATGTATTTCTTTCCCCAGGAAAAAATCATCAGGGAAGAATTTAGAGGGTAACAGATTCTCAACTCCCACCGCTTTTGAAAAGAAACACTTTGACCTTATCCAAGTTTCTAAACGTGCACTTATGTGAGTATTGATTTTGGGAGACACTATCATGACTTCTATAAATTCCCTAAGCTCTGTTTGCAAGTAAGAAGTGAGAACATTCCCAATTTGGCTGTAAGTTTGTCTAATGGCCATGTTTAGTTATGCTCTGTAGTGCTTCCCCAGCTATGGTCCTCAGGTCTATATGGGCATTCCAGCAAGCTCCTCGGCTAATCTCTAAGGATCCAAATTCTAATCTTTAAACTTTTGTTCTTGGCATGAGTTTTAGTGATTAGTGTTAAGCTAGTGTCTTGCCAGAAGCATTTGCCCAACTATGGGTCATGTTTTGTTTGTTTTTACAGCAAGTATGGTTGGAAAACTACGCTGCTGACATTCACAAGTGGTTCTTGGATCAGAACAGTGCGAAAGTCACTGCCAAATCAAAATACAGGAAGAACGTGAAATGTGCTTAAGCCAGAACACGAACACGAGGTTGGTTTATACTAGTATCTCTTTTGTTGATTCTTTTAAAATAATTATTTTCTTTTGGTACCAGGGGACCGAACTCACAACCTTGTGCTTGCCAGGCAGGTTCTTATACCACTGAGCTGTATCCTAGCTATAAAACAATTATTTTCTTTACAAATTCATTTCCCTAAACTGGCACAAGACACTACCTAACCTAGCCTGCTTGGCAGTAAAAAGATCAAAAGATTTGTTTCCTGTACATTATTTTCTTTGATTTTTTTTTTTTTTTTTTTTTTTTTGGTACCAGGTATTGAACTCATGACTTAGGGCTTGCCAGGCAGGCACTTATGCCACTGAGCTAAATCCCCAGCTCTTTGAATTTTTAAGAGCTTGCATTTATGTTTGATAGATTACACAACAATTAAAGATCGTTCAAGCTAGATCATACTTAGAATATTTCTAAATCTCTCTAGATTTGTCCTGGGTAAGGAATCTGTCAATAAACTAGGTTGGAATGAAAGGATTACATAATGGGATCAAATCTTGAGCACCTTCTAGTTGGTGAGGGAAAAATTTGTAAGGGAAAGAAATTTGAGTTTGATAATCTGAGAGCTATTTTAAGTATAGTATGAATACTATACTTATTCAAATTTAGGATTGAGGATTAAACACGACATTGGGGGAAAATTCCATGCTTTATGGCCTATGACCTATAAGAACTGCATAACACAAGAGAGAGAGAGAGAGAGAGAGAGAGAGAGAGAGAGAGAGAGAGAGAGGAGATGTCCTAGCTGGCAGCTTGTAAACACGCTGGAATGATAAACAAGAGATAAACATCGTAATTGAGCTAGGAATTAAAAAAATGGATTCCATGGTGATAAACTTAAATGTATTAAGAAGCTAAAGTGTGGTGTCTAGTTGGATACTGGACATCTCCACCTCTGGTTCTAATTGGTATTACAGGGCTCACGTGCCCCTAATTAGGCCTGGGCTGTCCCCTGTTTCTGCACCTGACTCCTGAGATCTCTCTAGCTTAGCAACTTTACTCATTTGAACAGGCCAAAACCAGCACATTCATTCTTAGCTCCTCATTCTTTTTCATAGAAACAAATCATGTTTGTTCCTCTTTCGAAATGCATCCAGAATCTGATCACTCCCAGCAATGTCTTTGAAACCCCCTCCTACTTATTATTTAACATATTTCTTTCTAGAATGTTATTTTTTTTGAGGGAGGATTTCTGCCTATTTTATGTACTGCTGTATCTTTAGCTTTTAAAATTGCCTACCAGGACTACCAACAAGCACTACTCATGGTGTGCAATAAATATTTGTTAATTGATGAGTGAATAATACTCATAGGGGAGAAAGGAGGGCCAAGAAATATTAAATTGGATTGGCTCTGAATTAACAGCTATTTTTATGTACTTACTATGTGCCTATTTAAAGATTAAGTCTTTACATGTTGTATGTATTGCATATATTTCAGTAACATTAGGTTCAAGACTTTGGATAAAATAATTCTAGACTATGTTACTAAAATATTTATGGCATTGAAGAGTATTATCTCTCCTTTTTGGCTTAACAAATTAATAAATGAGAACAACTTCTAGGGGATCTTATCACATTTGGATAACATTTTCTTGGAAATAAAATATATCCTATTTTTATATATTATATATAGACTATTTTTTCACTATCACAGACAGTCTCCTATTTAATTTTACTTAAGTTTGGATGTTTTAGAAATGTTTTAGAACATAATTACAAAAAAGAACAGAGTTTTCCTAAATAAGACATTGAGCATACTAAGTAAATTACATGTCATTTCAGTATTCTAGATAGTCTTGGTTTATAATTAGTCTTAAAGAATTCCAGAACTTTGATCATCAGTACAAAAAAAATTCCAGAACTGAAAGACAGAAAGGGAAAATAATTGCTGGCACAATCTAGGCTGCATGGCCAAAGTCCGATTTTTCAAAAGCAACTCTATCCTATGTAAATGAGGTTGACTTCAATATGCAGTGATGTTTTCTAAGAAAATAGGAAAACAAACTTGGGGCAGTATTTCTTAATATCCGCGCGTGATTTCAATAGCCCTGTGAATTCTTTTATTTTACCTTATCACTAGAATTATTAGACTTTTGCTGTCTAGGTCCTAATTACTCACAACTATAGTAGAAAATAAATGAGGATTTATGCTATTAGAAATGTGTTAATAAGACATGAATATTTCAAAAGGAAAGGCTTAACTAAACCTGGAACAGAGTAGGTACTCGATAAATATTTATTGAATAAATGAATGAATGAACTAGAACAATAGGGAACAATTTGAGTTCAGATTCATCATGAATTTTATTGATTTCTAGTTTGAAAGGAGGCATGAATCCTGGAATCTAAGGTTTATATGAATGATACATCCATAATGTATGATGTAATATGTGGTGGTAAAACACAGTCTTTAACAGTTTACACAGGAGGCTTACATATAGTTGTTTACCATGCATGGAATGGGCCACTTATCTGAGTTTAAATTAAAAAAGATCCTGATGAATTATGCACCGGAAACATCTTGTTTCATTTTAAGTTTAATATAAACTGGAAAATTACTCATTTAGATGAAAACAAATTTTGTAGAGGAAATGCATCTCAGCGGGAGAGGAAAGAGTCATGAACCAAAGTGAAGTGTAATTAGAACTCATTCAAGAAAATAAACTTACTATGGATAAGGTACTTGGGTTGAGAATTATTAACTTTTTCCCCTCCATATCTTTGTTCCAAGTTTTAGATAATGCTGTGATACATTTATCTTCTAAGGCAAGAGGCAAGCTTGAACAGGAATAGACTTAAAGTGGGGAATGTTGGCTTTATGACTGTTGGCCCCCTGTATTCAGTAACTACATTGAATCAGACCCTTGCACCTGGTGGATATTCACTTGGCGAATATCCATGATGATACAGTCCTGAAGTCTAAATGGGAGGCTTCAGTCAAACAACAAGTTAGCAATGACCCTCCTGTTACGCTACTCTGTGCAACAAGTAAAGCAAAATGGTGAAGCAGTAGAGGACTGCAAATAAAGTGGGGATTGTTGGTGTTGCCACATGAGGGAACTGAGCTTTGATGAGGATAAGAAACTAGTTTGAGGGCATACACTTGGTGAGTCACACAACCGGGGTTCTAATCTGGGGAGGGCTGATTCCACAGTTGGAATTACTACCATGGAATTCTTTACTGCTGACCATTCCCATGCACATTTCTAGCCACCTGCAGAGCATGAGGTTCGATTTCCTTGGCAGGGCCCTGTCTTTTTCTCTAACTTTGTTTCTCAGTAGTTCCTCTAAGCTACCCAGTCTTTTATATAACCAGGCTTGTGCTTCTGTGGTCCTTTGAGCCTGTGGCTATGACCTGCATAATCCCTCGCTTCCTGTTCGCTTTCTTCTGGAAGCATCCATGACACGATGCTGTTGTTGAATTCCTTTCCTCTGCACTTGTGTAAAATACTGCCAGAAAATTACTGCCTGTGGCATATCTGTCTACTGCGTATTTTTGCAGGCCATGAACTGACAAGGTTTTTACATTTTTAAAGGTAGGAATGAGGGGCCAGGGATATAGCTCAGCGGCACAGCACCTGCATGGCAAGTACAAAGTCCTGAGTTCAATTCCCAAAAAAAGAGTGAGGCAAAAGAAGGCTGATGTTTGTGACTTGAGATTCACATATCAGTGCCCATAAAGACTCATCAGCATACAGCCATGCCTGTTACATACCTCCCATTCCTGTTTTTGTGTTATAGTAGCATAGGTGAGTAGTTGCAAGAGATCATGTGGCCTGACAAGCTTACAATATTCACGACTTCTGCAGAATACGTGTGTCACACACAGTACTTCTAAGTGATTTCCCAGAGCTGGTTTCAAGCACTTCACAGACGGGTATCACATTTTATTTATCTCTCTGCCTGCTTCCCCTGCTGGCCTACTCTGGCACGGAGCAGACAGGTATTTAAATATGTAGACGCTGAACTCATGATTCTGTACTTTGTCTGTAGGATTGTTCCACAAGTAATTGTGAGCATGCACCCTGCCACCCACCTGTTTTCCCCTTTTAGTGTAAGCATCCTGTCGTTTCTGTCCTTTTGTGTTCCTGAGATTTTTAAAGCTAATCTAGCATTTTTTAAAAACCTGAGTTTTCCTTTTGAAAAAAATTACATTTTTGAAGTTTATGAAATACTTATTACAATGTGCATTATCAATGTTATCACATTGTGGTATCAGTGTTATCACATTGATAAATTACAGTGCTCTGGTTTACTGTTAATAAGTAATTTTTTTTAATTTTAAAAAGATTAAGATAGGAGAGGACATAACAAAACAGATCAGAAGAGAACAATTTAAGCAACATAGTGTTTCACCACAAGACAACCTGAATTAACAGTGGCTACCATAGTGTCTCTTTCCTTGAAATATTTGAGTATAACTTCATAATAAGTAATTATTTTTAAAGGGGAAAAAATGAAAGCAATGTTTCCAAGTCTGCGGTAAGAAAAAGAAAAGAAAACTGTGGAACTGCTGGCAGACTTTTGGTTTAGAAACTAGAAATCGTTAGACAGTTGTGATTCCCAGTGTGGAACTGTAAGATGCCCGTGAAGACAATCTTTAGAATTTCTACTTTATTTTTTCTAAAAATAAGAGAGGGCTAGAAATTGGCTGATGTGCAGAGCCAGTGTGCCCTCTTTTGGGCCCGATTCCCACACAATCTCAGGCTTTTCTGCGCATGACGGGCCGGGCAGGGCAGTCAGGGCACAGGGGGCTCATGGTACAGTTGCTTTTGGCACTTTTCTATGAGCTGCACTTTGTGAGTCCAGTTAAATTGGTTTGTGACCAAACTGATTCTCACACAATGATCACGTTGCTTAAAATGATTCCTGAAACAAGAAATGCATTTGAAAACCTTATAATGCAAAAGGCTGTGAAAAATAGCAATGCAGCAGAACTGGCCCCCCCAGTCGACTGTGTCAGTTTTGCTTAAAGA